CAATAAAATCAGCTATAAAAAGAAATAAAAAAAAGATAATAATTTATGTTAAATATATATACCTATATATTATAGTCTTGAACTCGGACTAAACTATGTTAGTACTACTTTTGTACATATTTTTTGAGAAATAACACTGGATAATCACGTACCTCTTGTAATTTTTGTTTTTTGAGATCAAATTTACTAATTGTATTTATTAGTATAAATTATTAATAAAAATTAAATTTAAAAAATTCAAGTTAAAACATGCATAACTTAAACTTATTAACTCGTTTATGCTCAGGCTTGGTTGCTCATATATTTATAAAAAATTATACAAAGTTAAAAAGTATTTAAATAAAAAAAGAATATTAATATGTTGCATCAAATTTTAAAAATTAACTACTTTTCTTGATTTTTGTCTCTGCAATGTCATCAATAACATAATATCGTAATATAACCAACTGACCAAAACAGTATTGACTGACGACATAATAAGCAAAAATACATTATTATTATTCTTTAAATATACTTGTCACATAATAAACAATTTTTATGAATTTAATTTAAATGTATTTTAAATCCAACTACTTTCTAATAATTATTATATACACTAAAAAATGTATGCATCTGTGAATTTTCTAAGTTAAAATAGAATTTTTATTGCATCAAACATTCTAATAAAAAGAACTATTGTTTTAATTAAATATGTTATAAATGTCTAGTTAAAACCAATTCATTTTAACATAATGTTACCTCTTAGATATTATATGAGACAGAGTATAGTGTATATTTTAGGTCTCGTAAGACCTGAGGAAAGCATTCTTGCAGATCAATAGACAAAATTGTTTTTGAAGCGCTTATTGTTTTAGAATACTTGGCCGCTTACCTTCCAATTGGCACCTTATTTCTCTCCACAACAGCTTACAGCATGGATGGATGCGAGATGAAATTGTATGTATGACGTCGGTTTTTCGACGCTGTACACAATTATTATTGTAACGATGGGAGCCGATCGACACACAAACTGACCAATCACAAACAGATTTCTGATGACACTGACCTAGAACCGAGAGAAAATTATTGTAACCATTTCATGATAAACATTAGGTAGAAGTTCAGCTCAAATATTCTTTGTCTATGCCACAGATGTCATCTACTTGGACAACGGGAATTTCAGCGTCCCGTCGCACGTACAAAAATACTGTTCTCACGAACTCGTTTCACGGTTGTGCGGTGGCGTCCATGTTGGACGTGCGGGCCCGACAATGTTACACGATCAGTCGATGGACGCATAA